GCTTCTCCTACTACTGCTATGTCCACTGCGTGCACGTCAGCTCCAGCGACGATTGCCCGTTTCATTGTGATGGCGTTGACGTGGACCGTTGAAAACTTAGGCGACTGCCAGTGAGGTAGTTCAACCCAGTTATCGCTACTTCGCACTGTGCAGCTACCCGTCGTCCAGTCGATTCGCGGGTTATACCGTCGCAGCCAATCACGTCCCAGTAAAATGTCGTGCCCATCCTGTGTCGTTGCAAGCATTTCCTGTGTAAACCCAAAGTTCCCCCAGCAGCGGACTTTTACTCTCTTTACCTTCTCCCGTATGGCCAGCAGCGTGCCGTCAACTAAGCATGCGTCGATCTCTGGTAAGCACCGGCTAAGTGTCAGCTGCAGTTTTCGTGCGGTCGCGGTATTAACTAAACTGTGGCTTGCTCCTCCGTCGATAAAAATCTTCACTACTGCTCCCTGTATTTTCCCGTGAATCAGTACTGGCCAATCCGTCGCTGTACCCTCCTTTTTCATCTGAGCCCGATTAATGGCGTGAATCAGTACTGTGACTCGGTGAGGGTCTGTGAGGTTGGGCGAGCAGGCAGTCTCGTCAATAGTTGGCCCAGATTCTACTGACTGCTGCCATTTCCCTGCGCCTGAGACCCCGGCGCCGCAGCTCCTCTGGACATTCGCTCTTGCGATGGCCCGGCCTGTTGCAAGAAAAGCAGCGCCATTTAAACGGCGCGGCTGCTGCGTTCGTCGCAACGGCGTGCTCGATCGGTCCCCGAGGACGATGTCAGTAGTAGGACCCTGGTCTCGAACGGCGCAAAATATCGATCTTCTCGGCGAGCGCGAGGATCTCGTTAAATTCGAGAGCCCGCGTAGCATGATTTCGTGCGAGATGTCCGGCTTCAGCCCCCCGATGAAACGGTCCACCCGCTCCGCTTCGTGCATGTGGCCGACTTGCTCGCATAATGCGAGAAAACCGCTCGTGTAGTCTTGAACAGACCCAAGCTGCCGCCAAGTGCGCATTTTCTGACGCGCTGAAATTGAAGCCGCGAGGCTTGAAGCGCGCCCGAAGCCCTGCGCACCACGCATCCCACGTGCTGTACTGGGCGGTTTTGCAAAATGAACTCCAGGTGGCAGCTGGACCCGCGGGCCCTTCCTCTTGCGGCGGTGGCTCGTAGACACGTGGCGACGTCACGATGACTCGCCACCAGTCCATGGCGGGGCCCCTCAGCAGCGAGACGGCGTATCGGATCTCCGCTGCGTCCGACTCAACGTAATTTGCGTCGAAGAACACATTCATCGTGAAGACCCACGATTGAACCGTCGGACCTCCACGCTGGCTCGGGTCGAAACAGGGCGGGCGCTGCGGCTTGAGTGGCATCGGTGCCATGATGGCGTCATCGCCACTTGTTGCTGCAAACTCCACGTGCCGACGGGCTTAGCGCGGCTCCCGTGGGCTGGATGCTGGCATGTTCTTCTCCATGCAAGGCATAGAATGAGCGGTGCCATCACTGGCTGTGCTTGGGCGCTGTCCCACGCTGTCGTTTTGTGTCGATGTGCCGGATGAATGATAATCAGCTCCTCTGATTGTGCGGGTGCATTTGCAGGTGCGTATGGTGGTGCTGGAGCGTTCACCGTGGACTGCTGTCGAGCGAAGTCGCGTTCCGCCGTGAGCGTCGCAATCTCGAGTTGCGAATCCTCGAGTTGGCGCACCAGACGGTCGATCTGCTCCTGCGTCAGCGTCGCGAGAGTGAATTCGGCCATGGCGGGGGTGTCGGGCAAGCTCAGCGAGAGCCTCTGTCGTGACCGTGCGTGCTTTTGAGAGAGCACTACGAGCGGCGGTGCTTGTGTCGCTGAGAGACGTCTCCCCCCCCCAAAAAATTGAGATAGTGGGGAAGCGAAGGTGTGGATGCGGTCCGAGAAGAGATCGTAGGCTCTGAATACCAAGTGTTACGAGTGCAATTGAGTGAGCGAGCGAGAACTGTAACCAAACCAAGAGTACAATGAGCGAAGGCATGAGCGAAAAATATATGGTGAAACTACAGTGGTAACGGTAATGTGTGGAAATTGGGGTGCGCGACGGGCCTAGCGCCGAGGGTGGGAAATGCCGAGGCGGAGGTCCGGAGCGCGGGTTACCAACCGAGCCGTGAGGTTGGGTCGCGGCGTGAACAGTGGCGGGAACAGTGTCGAGGTGAGTGTCGCGAGTGGTAAGGGTCTACTGTTGAGTGCTAGTGGCGGGAACAGTGGTGTACGCGCTGAGAAGGGACGCGGAGTAAGGAAAAGGAATTTTCCTTACATTACGTCAAATGTTTATATCGCTTATATATAATTAGTTGTTCTAGGATGCAATGAGTTGCCCCTTAAAGGGTACAACACTTTGTTTGGGTTAACACTTTTTACCCTCTTGCCATCATCCACTCAACATTATTCTCTCGATATTCCTTCCTAGGCTACTTTAAGATGGTATCAGAGCAGGATCAATATTTTTCCTTTCACGCTTCCGCTCCCTCCCTTCGTTGCGCCCGAGGCGCCCGTCCCTTAGGTTCCGTTTTGTCGCGGGTAGGATGGCTGTCGCGGGCCTCGATTTCGTCGCGTTAAAAGGCCCCCGCGGGCCTCAATTTCGTCACTTTTAAAGGCCCCCGCGGGCTCATTTAGTCGCGTTCAAGGGGCTCCGCCAACCCTAGTTTCGTCGCGCCCCTGCAGGGAAGCGCGCACCACCCTGCTGAGCAGCCCGCGCCACCCTGCCGAGCTGCGCGTGCCCCTGCAGAGCTGCGCTCGCCCCTGCAGACCTGCGCGCGCCCCTGCAGAGCAGCGCGCGCCCCTGCTGAGCAGCCCGCACCACCTTGCAGAGCAGCCCGCACTACCCTGCAGAGCTGCGTGGACTGCAGAACAGTGCACGCCACCCAGTACAGCGGTCCACAGGCCTTCACAGCCGCTCACAAGCCTTCCCAGCTGCTCACAGCCCTTTCCCAAGGTTACAGCGCACCATAACCACCACTTTAACACCACGCCTACTACCATAGGCATCTCCAGCGGCGGCTGGCAGCCACTGTTACTTCTACTAGCGCGGATTAGGGTTAGTACCCTGACGGTATAGGCGTTCCTAGCCCTGTTCACTCCTCTCTCCAGTCACTCCTAGCTCCAGCCGTGCCTAGGCCCAGCTGTTCTCACTCTAGCCGTTCTCCCTCCAACCGTTCTAGCTCCAGCCGTTCCAGCTCCATCCATTCTAGATCCAGCCGTTCTAGGTCCAGCCGTTTCAGCTCCAGCCATTCTAGCTCCAGCCGTTCTAGGTCCAGCCGTGTCAGCTCCAACCGTTTTTACCACAGCCGTTCTTGTTTCAGCCTTTCTTGCTCTAGCCGTTTCAGCTCCAGACGTTCTAGCTCCAGCCCTTCTAGCACTAGCCGTTTTAGTTCCAGCCGCCTACAGCCCTTTGTCATTACTCGCTCCAGCCGCTCCTCGTACCAGCCGTTCCTAGTTTGGTGGTCCTTGCTGTTTCTCCCTCCAACAATTCCTAGTTCCAGCTACTTCTGCTCCAGTAGTTCTTCGCGCATGTTGCCCAGCTAGCCCTTTCCCATGGCGTCCACTCAGGCTTTACAGCGGCAGGGACATCAGCAGTTTCTGCGGTGGCACCCTCGACAGCAGTGGCGCCCTCAGCAGCAGTGGCGCCCTTGGCAGCCGTGGGGGCCTGGTGCCTCGGGTGCCATTGGATGCAGCAGCGGCCCAAACAGCTGGGGCCTCGTCGCGGTGGTCGCGACGTCGGCCCCTGCCAGTACCGGATCCTGACTGGCCCTAGTGCTGGCACTACCTACTGGTGTCCTGACCACTCTGCACAGCGCTGCTATCGCCGCCTCGACGACCTCTATCGTGAGCGTTTTGGGTCTGAGTCGAGGCCACCGATCTGGCCCGGTCTGTCTCGTAGTGGTTACCCTGTGTTTGATATGTCTATGGATGCTGTTTATTCTGTCACGTATGGATCTCTTGGATTGTGTGTACCTAGCTTAGGATTCCTTTGCCTGTTGCTAGTGTAGGTACTTGTGCTTTTAGTGTAGGTGCTTGTGTCGTCACTAGTCCAGCCGTTATATCTGTTGTTGCATCGCTCAACTTCATGCTGGACTCAGGCGCGTCTCAGTGTTTCTTCCGTGACCACACCACTGTCACACCTCTTTCAGCACCAGTCCCAGTTGCCCTGGCTGATCCTACTTCATGACCAGAAGTCGCTCGCAGCTCGACCACTCTCCCATGCTCGGCTGTCCCTTCTGGTTTTCTCACTGGTCTCTCGTTCTCTCGGAACTTGGTGGGTGTTGGATACCTTCAGGACCGTGGGATCACAGTTTCTTTTCCGGCATAAGGGAGGATGGCGATCTGTACGGACGCTTCCACCGGGGCACTTCTTGCCACGTTCACCAAGAAGCCCCATTCAGGTCTCTTCGTCCTGCACACTGCGTCCCACCAGGCAGCAGAGTCCGGTCAGGTGACTGCGTCCCACTAGGTAGTAGAGTCCGGTCAGGTTACTGCGTCCCTCTAGGTAGCAGAGTCTGGTCAGGTTCCTGCGTCCCTCCGGTAGCCGAGTCCGGTCAGGTTCCTGCGTCCCCACAGTTTGATGTGTCCGCTCCGGTTGCTGCGTCTTGCTCTTGCCGTTCACTCTCTCACCTGACAGTCTTGTGGAAACACCGCCTTGATCACCCGTCCATCGCGCGCCCCTGCAGCATGGCTAGCGAACGTCTTGTCTCAGGTCTCCCGCACGTCTTTCCGTCGCTCCCTCCCTCGCCTGCCCCGCCGTGCACTCCTTGCGTCGCTGGCCGCCTGCGTGCCACTCCTCACTCCTCCTCCCTTCGTCCGACCACTGCTCCCTTCCAGACCCTCCACCCGGACGTCTGGGGCCTTGCTGCTCGGTAGGGACCTAAGCGGGAGTGCTATTTTTCGGTGGTTGTCAACGACTACTCCAGGTACACCACAGTGTTTCCTCTCGCAAAGAAGTCCGGACGCTGATCCGGTGGCTTCTGACCACCGTGGAAACCCATGGCAATTGAGTCCGCTGTCTCCACTACGACCGTGAAGGTGAGTTTCGCTCCGACGGGTTTGCCGGATTCTGCGACGAACAAGGTATCGCAGCAGAACGGGGTTGCTGAGCGCCGCATTGGCTTGGTCATGAATATTGCCCGCACCTCCATGATCCATGCCCGTGCGCCCCAATTTATGTGACCCTACGCTGTTCGCTACGCAACCCACCAGCTGAACCTCCAGCCGCTAGTCTCGCGGCCGGGGGCTTCACCGACCAGTCTTTGGACAGGGTCCCCTGGTGTTGGGTTGGCCTTTCGTGCCTGGGGCTGCCTTGCACTTGTCCGCGACACCTCTCTGGACAAGCTCTCAGCTCGCGCCATCCCCTGTATCTTACTTGGTTTCCCGGTGGACTCCTCCGACTACACCTCTTATTACCTGCCCCTCCACCGTTTCCTAGACTCCCGTGACGTCCAGCTTGATGAGTCCGTGTCCTACTACACCCAGTACCCCTGTCGAAATCTCCCAGTCCCCACTCCTCCTCTTTTCCTAGCGCCCTCTCCTCCTCTTGCTCCCGCTCCTCCAGTACCTCCGGTCCCCCCTGGTCCAGCCCCATCAGGTGTGTCTCACGCTACACCTCTCCCCTTGGTCACGCGTCAGGTAGCGTCTCCCTCTCCGCAGTCCTCATCACAGTCCCTGCAGCAGTCGTCGGCAGATCCACGATAGGTTACTGTGGACTCAAGGGGTGCTGGAGCTGGAGGTGCTTCTACTGGGGGTGCTCCTGTGAGGGGTGCAAGAGCTGGAGGTGCTGGCGCTGGAGGTGCTAGTTCGGGAGGTTCTGGAGCTCGAGGTGTTGGCACTAGTGGTGCTGGTTTTGGGGGCGCTGGAGCTGGAGGTGCTGGCACTTTAGGTGCTAGTTCTAGGGGTGCAGGAGCGGGAGGTGCTGGCACTGGATGAGCTAAATCTGGGGGTGCGGGAGACTGGCGGTGTTAGTACTACTACTCCTCCCCACCGCCACGACACAAGTCTCCGGGCGGCTCGCCTCCGTGATCGTGAGAAGCAGGAGCGGTTGGAATGGGAGAGCCGGGAGCTGCAGCAGTTGGACTTGCAGGAGCAGGAGGAGCAGGAGCAGGAGGAGGAGGAGGTGGAGGAGGGGGAGGAGTGTTGGGTGCAAATGCACATTGCACGACATCCTGCCGTCTGTTTGTACGAGTATGCGTGTGCGAATGCATTTGCGTGTGAATGGTGTGTTCATGTGTTTGTTTGCTTTCGCATTTTTCGCTTGATGCATTTGCAGGTACTCGCGCAATGTGCGCTTCGGCACAACATTGTACGCGCTATGAACAGTGCAAGCAGAAAGGACGAGCTCGCAAAGGAACCCAAGATGGAAGCTTTGCAGTTCGGTTGAGTTGATTGCGCAGATTCAGTTCTATCCAACTCGGAATTGTACTGTTTTGTTTGGTTAACTATAGTGTAGCAGGGAAGGCACTATAGGGGTACAATTTAGGTGAAGGTTGGATGTTGTTTGTCTGTATCTGCATGCTACAAGGCCAGGGGAAACCAGCGGAACCAGCATTTGGCTGGTTGGGCAAAGACAAAACAAGTTCTGTTTTTAGAACCTGAACCTGGTTGTTGTTTTCCCAGGTTGGAAAAACATAACCAGAGGTTGTTTACCAACCTACCACCTGCTATTTTGTCCAGCCAGGTTGGTTCTGTTGCTTGGAATTATTTGGGATCATCCCTGGTTGTTCCCAGGTTGATTCCCAAGGTCCTTGCTAGCTAGAACTATTTAATCCTTCTCTGTTTGTACCTGAAAATAGTCAAATTGATTCAAGCGAATTCCTTCCTCGCTGGAATTTCGTTTCTACGCGGTGCAACCAGTCCTGGACAAGATGCGCGACCTCTACGCGAAGTTGGCGACCGCAGGAATCACCTACCCGGAGCAGACCAAGTGCTTGAAGATGCTCTCGCTGCTGCCAGAATCGTGGCTTCAATTTACGAGCGGATTGAGCCTGCCGCAGAACCAGAGCTTGTGGACGCTCGAGTGGGTGCGGACGAAGATTCTGGAGGAGGACTTCCGTCGCCGCCAACTGAGGGGTGGAGACGACGGCAGCAGCGGCTACGGGATGCAAGGGAGCCGACGTGGCAGAGGACGTGGCTTCGGTGGTGCTGGACGCGGTGCAAAGAAGGACGACGACTCCAACGACCAACAAGGAGGTACCGGTTGGGGTCGCGGTGCGAAATCTGGACGTGGGGGCAAGTCGGGTGCTGGTGGCAAAATGAAAGGGAGTTGCTGGTATTGTGAGAAGGAAGGGCACCCCTGGTTTTTGTGCTATAAGAAACCCGATGGATGGACCCCCCAGAATCGTCACCAGGATGGCGGCGCGCGGAGGAACCAGAAAAACGGCGCCAACATGGTCGCTGATTCGTCCGACAACAACCCGAAGGGCAACGGCGGTGCGGAGAAGAAGAAGGAGCGCACCGTGGGCCAATTCTTCCATGTGGGAGACAAGGGGGAGCAAGGAGACGCCTCTGCCAAAGTTGGAGCAGAGCTGCACCCCCTAGACTATTGGGTGTTGGACACAGGCGCTGCTTGGACGATGACACCGCGCAAGGACCTGCTGGACGAAGTACGAGCTGCACCGATCAATGAAGTGTGCTCCGCCTCTGGACACATGTTGAAGGTGGCTGGTGCGGGACGAGCTGCGTTTAAGGGAGCGGATGGCAAGCCGGTGGTGCTGCACGACGTTCTCTTCGTCCCCGACCTGAAGGCCAACCTTATCTCCCTCCGTAAGCTTGGCAAGGCTGGGGTGAACACCAACACGGATGGGGCACGCACTTATAAGGGGAAGCTGGGCAATCGGGTGCTTTGGGATCTGCACGAGAGCAAGGACGTGTACAGATCTATGTGGCAGCTGCCGGCCCTGGCGTGGCATGGTGGGGGGCAGGCTGGAGAGGGGTCTGCATCCCAGGGGGAGTGCAATGCCGTTGGAGGGGTTGGTGTGAAAGTGTCGGCCAGATCTGGGGAGACAGATTGGGCAACGGCACACCGGCGCTTAGGGCATGTGGCAATGCCTTTGCTGAAGCAGCTGGAGAAGGATGGAGCCGTTAAGGGTCTGAAGCTGAACGGACAGCCACCCGATGACAACTGTGAAATCTGTTTGCTTTCAAAGTTCACCCGTTTCCCTTTCCATAGTGTGGCTGGCAGGAGCAAGAAGCCTTTGGAGCTGGTCCACATGGACTTGGTGGGGCCGCTGCCGGTGCAAGGGCACAAGGGGGAGCGGTATTTTCTTACAATTGTGGATGACTGGAGCAGGCTGATGTGGGCGTATCCGCTGAAGCAGAAGGACCACGCCGCCTCCACGATACGGGACGATTGGCTGCCATTCGTGGAGAAGCAGGCGGAGTGTGTAGTGAAGCGGATTAGGACAGACCGGGGTGGTGAGTTCCTTGGAGCTGAAATGACGGCCTGGCTCAAGAAGCAGGGCATCCAGAGAGAGCTGACCACGGCTTATACCCCACAGTCCAATGGTGTAGCAGAACGGGCAAACCGGACCATTCTGGAGACAGCTAGGGCGCTGCTCATAGAATCTGGGCTGAGCAATTCTATGTGGCCTCATGCTGTCCGGCACGCCACTGTCGCTAGGAACAGGGTGCTCACCAAGGTTGGGGATGACTCGTGGGTGCCGTTGGAGAGGTGGCTTGGGAGGAAGCCGCCGGTGGACATGCTGAGGGTGTTCGGTTGCATGGCAGTCGCCCACGTCCCCAAGACCTACCGCAGTAAGTTGGGGGCGAGTGCAATCTGGTGTGTGCATTTGGGGCTGGCTGCTGAGAGCAAGGGATGGCTGCTGTGGGAACCATCCAAGGGTGTGTTGTTTGACAGCAGGGATGTGAAATTCATTGAGGGCATGATGTATGGGAGCTGGGAGAAACAGCCGGAGGCAAGGGTGTCCCAGCAGATGGAGCAGATCACCATGCAGCTGGACCTGACTCCTAGTGTGTGGGAGGAGGGAGAGGAGGCAGCTGCTGGAAATGGTGATGGAGAGAAGGTACAGGAGGCATCTGCTGGTGGAGAAAATGGTGTGGAAACTGGCGGCAGCACTAGTGGAGCTGCTGGACCCGAGGGAGGAGAGAAGCAGCAGGGAAAAACTAAGAAGCCGAAGGGTGTCGTTATGAAGGGATGGGAGACACCCGTCTCCAGGCCAGGACGTACCCGTATGGCTACTAAGAAGCTGACTGCAGGAACTGATGCAGCAGAGCAGCAGCTAGGGACCGAAGAGGCATTGCTGATTCTACCTCATGGCTATGACCCGGATGAGGAGGATGAGCCTGCGTACTGTTTTCTTGCCCCTGCACCAGAGGAACCAGCTAGCATGGAGGAGGCATTAGCTGGACCAGATAGGGACAAGTGGCTGGCTTCTAGGGATGCTGAGTACCAGAGTCTGCTGGAGAATAGGACATGGGATCTGGTGGTGCTGCCTGATGGGAAGAAAGCGATACAATGCAAGTGGGTGCTGAGGATCAAGACCGATGACAAGGGGCAGGTCACCATCTACAAGAGTAGGCTGGTGGCGAAGGGGTTTATGCAGAAGGAGAAGCAGGACTTCAACGAGATCTTTGCTCCCACTGCCAAACCCCCTACCCTCCGTGTCTTGTTGGCAGATGCAGCTGTTAGTGGGAAATTCATCATTCAGATGGATATTTCAACGGCATTCCTGAATGGGATTTTAGAGGAGGATGTGTACATGACGCAGCCGCCTGGGTATGAGGATGGTACGGGCAGGGTGTGCAAGCTCAACAAGTCCATCTACGGCTTGAAGCAGGCGCCACGCTGCTGGTACCAGAAGTTGGCAGCTGTTTTAGAGGAGATGGGATTCAGGACCAGCAGCTGTGATGAGAGCCTCTTTCTCAAGGGCGAGGGGGAGAAGCTGGTGCTGTTTCTGGTCTATGTGGACGACATTCTTCTCTTCAGCAGCAGCATGAAGGAGATCCAGAAAGTGCAGCAGCAACTGATGGAAAACTTCAAGTGCAAGAACCTTGGGGAGGTAAAGTACTACCTCGGGATGCACGTGGAGAGGGATCCAGATCACAGGTGGTTGAAGCTGCACCAGGAGAAGTTCATCAAGGAGCTGGGGGAGAAGTATGGGATTGAGAATGAGCGCAAGGTTGCAACTCCCCTGCCAGCAGAATTCAAGCTTGTGAAGGCTGCAGAGGATGAAGGGGTTGAAGCTGAAGAGCAGCAGCAATTTCAGTCCTTGGTGGGCAGCCTCTTGTACGCAGCAGTTCACACGAGGCCCGACATCTCTTTCTCGGTTGGGCAGCTGGCTAGGGTGGTGCAGAATCCATCAGAGGAGCAGGTGGATGCAGCTGAGCGTGTGGTGAAGTACCTGAACTCTCACCCAAGCATTGGAGTTCAATACTCCGCATCTGCACAGGTGAAGCAGAAAGGGGTGGAGGTGCTGAAAGAGAAGGGGGAGAGGCTTGGAGAAGGCAAGCTATTTCTCACTTGCTTTACCGATGCTACGTGGGCTTCTGAGAAGGAGGATTCCTCATCTGTTGGAGGATACATCTGCGTAGTTGGGGGAGGACCTGTTAGTTGGAGGTCCAAGAAGCAGACGGAGACGGCACTCTCTTCCGTAGAATCAGAGTACATGGCGATGTTCCATGGGGTGAAGGAGGTGATTTGGCTGAGGAGGCTGTTAGAGGAGATTGGCCAGGAGCAGAAAGTTGCTACGCCGCTGTTTTGTGATAGCAAGGGGGCTCTTGGGATGGCCAGAAACGCTGTGCTTCATGGGCTGAACAAGCACATGCGTATCAAGTGGCACTGGCTGCGTAAGGAGGTGAAGAGGGGGACGGTGCATCCGATCTACATCAAGACTCACCAGCAGCCAGCAGACTTTCTCACCAAGAGGCTTGCGGATGAGCCTCATTGGCGTTGTGTGCGCATGAGTGGAATGAGCATGAACTAGCATGGAATGACGGGGATGCAGCCGGCAGGCTGAGGGGGAGTGTGTTGGGTGCAAATGCACATTGCACGACATCCTGCCGTCTGTTTGTACGAGTATGCGTGTGCGAATGCATTTGCGTGTGAATGGTGTGTTCGTGTGTTTGTTTGCTTTCGCATTTTTCGCTTGATGCATTTGCAGGTACTCGCGCAATGTGCGCTTCGGCACAACATTGTACGCGCTATGAACAGTGCAAGCAGAAAGGACGAGCTCGCAAAGGAACCCAAGATGGAAGCTTTGCAGTTCGGTTGAGTTGATTGCGCAGATTCAGTTCTATCCAACTCGGAATTGTACTGTTTTGTTTGGTTAACTATAGTGTAGCAG